CTGGGATGTGGCTTCCAGTCAGAGTCCTATGGGGAGCTTAAGGATGTGTAAGGAGGTGCAGATGTTGGTGGGTGGGGAACAGCATAGCCTTCGCACTGTCTTCATACTCAGGTTTAAAGAATGGTAGAGTATGAGATCTGCATTTGATACCTGCTGTGGAAAAAGTCTTCTGAATAATTTGCATGGATACCCCAATGAATAGATGTGACTTTTGTGTTTAAGCACACTTGATATTATAGCTAATGTTTGATATCTCCACCAATAAAGGTAGAATTAAACTCTCATATTTGTCTTTTTAATACACCCTCATAATGAATAAAGTGCAACAAATATCCTTTTTATGGTATAAAACACTTATACTGCTTTATTTCATGTTTCGGGTCTTACAAAAGGAAATGGAAGCACTGTTCAAATCCTTGAGGTATAAAGTAATACATCAGCAGTAAAAGTACATAATGTATTTGCCTTTTTGGAATGTTATTTGGTTTTTAATTGGGATAGATCAAATGTTTTTTCTAAAGTGCATCTAAATTATATTGATGAAATGAACTGAAACTGAATTTTACTACATTATATTTGCTTTTTAATTGATTGAAGGCCTTTTCTTTTTCAATTACCAGACAGCATTACTGAAACGCCAGAGTCGATATATATGCTCTACAGTTCCTGATAATGCAGAGAAGGAAGCTCACAGCTTGTTTGTAACTGAGGTAACTGTGTGTGGATTTGGGGGGAAGGTATATGCGTGTGCACACGTGTAACTATGGATTTCAGTTGTCAGCTTGCTTCTTTATTGTTCTCTAGCTAATCTAATTCTCACCCAGTGGGGGTCCAGGGGAAATGTCCAATAGGGCTGTGCAAAATTTCTCTGGGTGTTTCATTTCGAAGCTGTTTTGATGCGTTTCGAGCTTGAAACAGTGAAATCGAACTGAAACAAAAGCCTTTGAAACAGCTTCGAAATGAAACAAGAGCTTACTTGCTTCAGTGCTGCTCCCAGCCAGCAGCAGCAGCCTCCTGTGATCTGGCAGGCAGATCAGGGACCCACCCGCACCCCCAAGAGGGCTGCAGGGGCTGTACTGGATGCCTCCCGGGGGTTCAGGCCCCTGGAGCTCCCTGCTGAATGACAGGAAGCTGCTGCTGCTGGCAAGTGACAGGAGTTTTGCTTGTTAACACCTTGAGGTGCAGTTTCCCAGAAACCTCTGCACCTGTGTCCTTGAAACTTGGAATGTGTCATGCTCTCAGAAGGGGCTACCTTCCCTGCATGTTTCATCTGTATCGGGCATGAAATGACAAAGTTATAGATAGTTTTGTGCTTCCGCACTATAGCCTACAGGCAAAACGTTGAAATAGTGAAACAGTTTCAATGGAACAAAATGGAACAGTGCTTTCAAAACTAAACGAAACTCGAAACGAAACACTGTCCCATCAAAACGTTGAAACGGAAGTCAAAGTGGAACAGTGCTGTTTCGCACAGCTGTAATGTCCAGGTAAGAAATCCAATTCTTTAGCAGCTGCATTTGAAGGGTGATATCTTATTTGATAACTATATATTTCGTATAATCATTGGTGTATGTGTCTGAGGCTTTTTACCTGTGTCCTCTGTTGCTTGTTCTGTAGGTCCCTTGCTTGGATTAATAGTAGTGTGGGGTGTTTCCCCTTTCTTCATTCTTCCTTCTCTTTTAGCCTTTGCTGCTCTTGTTTTCCTGCAGCAAATTTGAAATGTCTATGTTTCTGGTCAGTGAAATGGGACAGAGTCTATTTAAATTGCATTCTATTTACCAATGACTTTTCATTTCGTGACTAGGAGATGTTTTCTTTTCATGATCACTTTTTTTTCAATCCTCTATTTCTGTCACAGTTATTTTGCTAGTAATTGTATTGTTTTAAGAAAAATGTACAAGATACATTCAGGCCTGTTTTTAATCTCTTCTGACTCTGAAGCTAGTCTGTTAGAACCTTTGTGCTTTTATCTCACTGTAAGACATGCTTGGTTGTGGGGAGCAGCATGGGTGAGTTAAACTATAAAGTTTAATGAAACATGACTGGCACTTAAATTTGCCCAATAATTATTCTTTATAAAAAATGAGTAAAAATGTTTTAGAAATATTACATGGTCTGTTTTATGTGCATATGTGTTCACAGTATGTGAAAAACTTGCTTATAAAACATATTGTGTATGAAGTATTGTATAATATTGTCTCTGGCAATGCACACAAAAATTTTATTACTTCTACTAATGCCAAGATAAATCAGCATTATGTGACAGCCGCATGGGTGGAGTAAAAGGAAACTTCCTGTGATCTAGTCCAGAAGAGAATGACATAATTGTCTTTCAACAGCTGCAGACATGCAGTTTGGATTCAAAACATACTTGTTGGATTAAAAATATAAGTTTAAATTGAATCCTGATTTTACTTCTTCCAAAAGGGGAAGTCCTAAATTGATCACGCTATTCTGATAATACAGAGTATTAGACAAAGTATGCTAAATGTTCAGTCAGGTTTCCAGTCACTTTTAGATGATGCCACTGAAGAAAGTGGTAAAGTTCAGGTGTTGACTAACTTGATAAAACTAGCTTTATAGATTCTTTGTGCCTTTAATAGTGCTTTCAATTTCTTGCTAAGCACTTTATTGTTTGTTTTTAGATTCTTCATTTGATTGTTTAAACGTACTTGAAAATTATATTTTTCATATTTAAGAGCAAAAAAAATTTCTGTATAACACAGATAACCATAATAGTATTTCACAAGGACCCATAACATAGGAAACCTGCTTTACGTTTCTAGGGAATGCTTTTAGTTAAACATGTTTAAGTTAATATATTGTGAACACTTGTTTCTATTATATAGTGCATCAAAACTTACAATTCAGACTGGCATGTTGTTAACTATAAATATGAAGACTACTCAGGAGAGTTTCGGCAGCTTCTAACGTAAGTGAATTATTCTGTACTATATTACAGATTTTAAATTTTCAGAGGAACTTCAAAAACATTAAACATGTTTGTAAAGCTGTCTTAATTGTAGGCTAGGTAAATAAGTTCTGTACTTAACATGGCAAAAATAAACCTTATGATTAAAATATAACAAGTTATTTTAAACTATGATAGAAATGTACAGACTTTGCAATATTTGAGGCAAGGTTCCAGAAGTTTGGGGACAGAATTTAATTTATATTTCAATGTGGCCAGGATTCTCATGGACAGTAATGGGCATATTTATTTTATTTTTTATAAAGCACTGAAACTATACACAGTTCTTCAATAGCAATAATAACAACAAAAGAAGTTTGAGGCCTGCATGTTAGAAGAGTATAAATAAAAAGACGGGCATTAGGTGTTTTTGGTTTTTTGTGTTTTTAGTTTTTTTCCTGAAACTAAATTATTTGTCTCTTACCATCTTTTAAACTGGCTGTACACACTTTATAGACTGTAGCTTTGAAGGAAATCGGTTAGTCTTTGACATTGCCTGGCTAGATCCTTGTATATTGCATGCTTCAACTTCTGAATAATTTAAAAGCAGTTAACTGATGCCTATGTCAGCTATGATCAGAATAGTCCAAGGTTATAAGAACAAGTGTACTTTGCAGTAACCTAGATCTAAATTTGATAATCAGGCTTCCCTTTACAGAAGTGGTCTAATGTAGATTTCTTTGAGAAACACTGCTTCAATTAGATTAAAAGATTAGCCGCCTTTAATTGAATTGAATATAAAAATGAATAATACCATTAATGCAATATCCCCATGTTACTTGATATCAGGTGGAAATTAATGTTGTAGTGTACCACAGGTTTTCTGAATTGATAACACCTTAAACACATTGTGCTTTGCGTAGATGTGATATCTTTTATTAGACCAACTAAATAATTGGAAAAATGGTTCCTTGCAAGCTTTCTGGGCATAAATACCCTTCTTTGGGCTCTCTCTGTGCCTGAAGAGGGGTGTATGTGCCCAAAAGCTTGCAAAGAACATTTTTTCCAACTATTTAGTTGGTCTGATAAAACACATCACATCTACCCAACCTTGTCTGCCTATGTCCTTAGACCAAGAAGGCTACAACCAACAACCCTAATGCATTGTGGAATTTTTTTTAATAAATAGGAAGTGATTCAAGATTTTGGCATGCAGGACGGTAATGAAACGCATGGGACTGGGAAAAGTTCATTTACAAACCCCATTTTTGGGAAAAAGAATGGGGTGGGGGAAAGAAATGTGTGTACTTATGTGGTTAGAACTGATGGTTCTACCTCAGTCACCTTTGACATCTTTGAGCCACCATCTTTGCCATTATCATGCTTCCTGCTCCCAATATCTATCTTACTGTGGAGTTAGTTAATCTACTGTGCCCTAATATTGGCACACATGTAGACTGTGATGCATCACTACAGAGTCTACTCCACAGTAAAGCGCACCCACAGCATCTGAAAGATTAACAGATCGTTTGCAAAGTCTTGTCCCCAGCTTATTAGACACATAGGAGGTAAAACAGCATTGCAATAGCAGAAGATCATTTACTTCTCTTGAGCTCAATCCAAGGGCTTCTTCCTTCAGGATAATGAGAGGCCTTTATAAAGTGCAGGGTGTGTAAGCTGAGGAAATAGCTGAACTGAATTATAGTCCAACAGAGAATGTGTTTTGGCCTATTGATATTTAATGTCTTTGTTCTTTCAGCTGAGGGAAATTAAAATAGTACTGAATAAACATGTGTAAGTAAGTGATCATGACTATTTATACTTTTTTGGTGTTTTTTTTTTTTTGCTCCTTTAGCAAAGGGACCAAATCGGACAAACTTCCAGTTCATGTATATGAAGTTGATGAAGAAGCAGATAAAGATGAGGTGAGTTGATTTGTTTTCTATATCATTTAGTTAAGATTAGTCCATTTAAAAGTAGCCTCAAACATGTTTTTGTCATCAAGTAAAAATAGAGATCTAGGTGTGGAATCTAACCTTATTTAAATTTCTAATATTTGAAACTGAAAAATCTATAGATGTGGACTTTTAACCAATCCTATAGTCCCAATGTCTCATACTATTATCAGTAGAAATTGTAGTAGGACATAGGACTGGAAGGAACCTCTTGGGTTACTGAGGCCAAGCACAGATGTACGCTTTCTGTGTATGGATAGAATTGCCAACCCTGAACCCTGCAACCAGCTGCTGGCTTTTAAATTTCTGCCCCGCTAATTAACTGGAAGACAAGGGGAAGCCAAAAGGGCTGATAGCTGGTCCTATGGAGCTTTCCTTAGCACCTGGCTCCTAGCCCCTCTGGCTTCCCTTTGCTGCCCATGCTGCCCAGTTGACCCAGAGCAATACAGAGCAAGGCAGGCTGCTGTGCTACAGCGATAAGACTCTGGAACCTTGCCACCACCACAAAATGCCCCTGTCTTACCTTGCACTGATTGTGGTCAGGTTGATGCAGTGTAGGGCAAGGCAGGCTGTCATGTCCCTCCACAGGGCTTCCAAAGCCTTGCCGTACCAGTTGAGTGCTCCTCCTTACTCCCTGCACTCTTCTGGGTCAGCCTGGAGGTTTGCAAGGAGCAGAGCTAGTCTCCTACAAGGGAGAATTTGGAGGATTCCCACCATGAGAGAATGCTTCCCTCCTGCCAGTCAGCTGATTGGTAGTATACAGGGGCATTCTTCCTAGGCTGGAACCCCCCTGGCTATCTGTGGTATCTGCTGCTTTTCAGGAACTGCCAACTTCTACTTGACTGTATGTCCCCTTCCCAGGCAATTAATGAGCTCCCCTACAGGTGGGAATGGCCATGGGCTCATCTTTTTAATGCCCATGGCTGGAGAAGTTGCCTGTGATGCTCTGCAGCCATGGGGTGGAAGAACATCTATACAGTCCAGCTCCTGGGCTGTTTTTCTACCAGAAGATATTTCTTCCAGTAGAAGTGAATGTCTATACATAGTTTGAGTCCAGTTCTCTGCTACTAAAAGCAATGACATCGTATTCCTTTCTTAACGACTGTAAAAGATATGTGTATATTCCTCCATGGAATATAGCAGTAGGAAAAGAGAGCTGGGGAAGAAAAGAGTTTAATATTGTGCGGGCCGGGAGCAGTCCGAGGCCCTTTCTTCGCGCGGCGGGCTGTGGCCAGCAGCCCGGACACGCCGGGTCGGGGAAGGCAGGCGGCACACTAGAATTAGGCACGGACGCTTAGTGGTTGATTTAAGATTATTTTACTTACACCGAAGATGATCGTGGTGCAGGCAGGAAAATTTGCTTGAGTTGCAGTTACAAAACAAAACAAAACTCGAACCTGCAGAACGTGAGGGTACGTCGCAATGGGGTTTCGGCGACGGGAAGATGAACAAAAACCTCGAGAGTATGTCGCAATGGGGTTTCGGCGATGGGAAGATAAACCTGCAGGACTCGAACCCGGGTAGAGCTCTGGATTCACTCACACGAAGTTTGCTAGGCTCCGTGGAACTTGCGCACAGGGAAGGGTACGTCGAGGGATCAGGCGGCGACAGGGAGAGGCGAGAGGCTGATCAGACCCCTATAGCCAGCTCTAAGGTACATGCGCTGGGTCCGATAGGCTCCGCAGCGCACCTAGAGTTCTCCTCAAGATGTTTACGGAGTCCCCCCTTGGAGGGTTCTCCTCTGGAGATCTCCAACTTGGGCGGAAACCGCTCAAGCCTCTTATATGGCTAGCAGGCCAATCACTAGCCACCACGTGGGAATAATTTAGAACTGGCCAATAGTGGGACACAAATTTGTATACGAATGGCGGGAACTCCTTGCACCGTGCATTTCTCTTTTGCAACCTAGAAATGCACCCTGCAAAGAAAGCTACAAGTGGCGGGAAATAATTTAGCAGTGCCAAAGCACACACAAACAAAAATCACACCCTTGGGTTGTGACAAATATAATTAAAATCAGACACATTTTGTCAAATTAATAAACTTTATGAGTAATACTGACAAACAAAGCAAGAGTGTTTTCTTCTTTCAAGTGGCAAGATTGGCTTTCTGGGGTAAAAACATGTTATTTTCTAGACAAGAATTTATTTCAAAAGTCTTGGAACATTTAATCTCATTTATAAACTATTATTTTAAAAAGGCTGTGAACACCAAAGTTTGCAAATGATGCAAAAATGTAAAAAAGCAAATAAGTAACAGTGCTATCATACCTAAAAAGAAATGCATATGTAGCTAAGGGATTTTGGTAATTCTGGGTATTGGGTCAACAGATGGTCAGTGCTATTTATCAGCAAATTTTAAAATTGGCTTCAGAGCAAGGTGCTAATCTAGGGAAATAGATGATTGTTGAAACAATAATCTGTGCGGGAGGACGGTTTGGAGCTTACTCTGGAAAAACATGGAAAACATCAGTGTGCAAGAATGAAAATAGGGAAATGAATCTATAATCTGTTGAGAACAGGAAGTAAACTTTCAGTGTAACAGCACTGTGCTGTTGGCTGTGGATTTTGTTTTCCTTTTTATTGCACCATCTGTTAATTTAAAGTGCAGGAACTTTTTTTTCAGCTCTAGAGATCTGAGTAAAAACTGTATTCACTAATTTTACTATGTATGATGAACCATAATGATTTTAAACATTTAGGTATGACAACATACACGGGTTAGCAAGATTGGCCAACCCAGCCTAGTAGAGCCATGCTATTGGAAAAAGATGCCCAAGCTGAGGCCCCCCCACCTATCCTGCTTCCCCCCTCCCCCTTTTTTTAAGGGGAAGGACAGGATAGAAAGTCAGGATTTAGTTCTTGTAAGAGATGTATATAGAGATACTTCCACAGTTGTTTTGTGAAGCTACAACAAAGACCTTAAATACTCTGCACCAAATTTGTGATTTAGCCCTGCATTTTGTACTTCTGAGAAGGACTTTTGAGCTCCCTTACTTAGATAACCCCTTTACATTTATTGTGTGCCAGGAAAGAACAGTTAAAAACAGTGGTTTACATTTAATAACATATTTAGCGCTCTGATATCTAAACACTTTTTAAAACTTTTACAGCTCCTTTCCTATGTTTTTTGACGTCTGGATTGTAAATGTTAAGTCGTTGATGGTAGACATTTAAGGGTCCAGTTTGGCTTGTGGGTAACAATAGGAACTTGACCAGAATCCAAGAGCAGCTCAAGCATCTGTACAAGTGTAGGGAA